ATTATACCTAACTCAAGTCCTCTCAGTTCAGAATGTGTTGGGCCAGAAGTTGAACATCCTGCAGTAGAGCCAGCCTGTCTGAGTTGTAAGATCTACTGTGAGGTTTATCTGCTCACTCAGTTCCCTGAGCAATGGCCATTGCCTATGGCAGGTTGTTCTCCTTTGCTTGCAAGGAGCTGTGAGAGACTCTATGATCTGACAGTGAATTGTTGAATCAGTAAATGAGGACTGAAAAGCTTGTGAATAGAATCTTTTCTTCTCCCTTAGTGTTTCCAAGATGTTTGAGGTTGGGGGTGTGTTAGCAGATATATTTTTTAAATGTCTTCAGGTCAGAGGAAAAAGGAGAGGCTTCTGGAAGAACCACCTGTGATTTATAAACCCAGCCTTAAATGCCAAAGGTAAAAATTATATTTATCATCTACAGCTGAGGGATGCTTAATATTGGTATCTCAGCCTGAAGATATCATTTGGCTTAAGTCTATTTACCAGGCTTGTAATAGGATATATTAGTCTGACCTTTAATTTTTTGGTGGTTTGTTTTCACTTAGAAAATCCCCAAGTTCAGCAAGTTCTGGTGTAGTCTCTACAGTGATGTGTCTGAAATTAGAATTTCCTTTTATCTTTTCTTCCTTCCTGTCTAAACATAACTGTTGAAATTAAGTACTTCTACATCCTCTTGTGGTATTGTACTCTGCAGGGTAAGGACAACTTTGGTAGTGAAGTGACATAACCTATTAGATTATTTGCTTTTATTAATCTGATTTTAAAGGTTCAGATTATTTTGAGTCTTATTGACTTTGCTTTTACTTACTTAAATCATATTACCATTCCCTTAGGAGAAGCTTGAAAGCTGACTTTGTTCAGTCACTTAAAATCGTTGCGCACCCATCCGTGTTGCTGAGACCCAGCTCCGTCGCAGCGAGATCCCCAGGCTGGTTGTTAGGCAGGGGAATGTGCTGATTTAGTGTATGTCCATGCAGATCGCTCTCAGGGAGTCCAGACTTGTACTGTACAAAAAACATGATTTTGTTGCCACGACCATTCCTTCACCTTGTGTTGCTGTGGCTGGCTTTAGAGCACAAGGGCAGCGATGAGCCTCCTCCCCCTCCTTGTGCGTCTCATAAGATTGTCACCTGGCTCCTTATTAACTGCATCAGCATTTGGCTGAGCTTAAGATCTGGTTGGGGTTTTTTGGCATTTTTTTCTCTAGTTTAATTCCTTGTTTCTCTGTTGTCTGAATAATTTTAAAAAAAAAAAAAAAAAGGTAAGAGCTTGGTGAGGGAGGGTGGAGGGTGGACAGGTTGTGGGAGAGCAGAGCTCTTGACATCAAAACTAGAAGGTGAAGGTGCATCACCATTTACTATGTATGAAAGACTCTGAGTTCTTACACCTAAAGTCTTGCTGCTTTTGACAGCCACTTACTGTGAGATCCACATTGACAGATACTTGTGGAGGAAGGGCTAAAAAAAAAAAGATGAAAAAGAGCACTTAATTTCCTGATTATCAACTGACTTTTTCAGATGCTGAAACCACAGCCTTCTCTCCACTCTTGTCTGTCAGGGTCTTTGTTTTGAAGGGTGATTCAGATTGAGTGTCTTGAAATAGCAAGGGGAAGCTGAGGAAGGATTGCCTATTATAGGACTCAGGAGACACAAGATGCTGTTCAAAGCATTCTTTAAGCTGAAACACATGGGGTTCATCCACACCTTGGGCGAGAGCTGCGCCACTGGCATCCCTTCAGAACAGTAAAGTTACTGTGGTGAGGTGTCTCCTCTGTTGATTAGCTTTGCATTGTCCTTGGCTTTCCATCTGATTTGAGATTATACTGTGTATAGATTACATAGTGAATGGAGGAACACCTTGAGAATGGATACTCAGGGATGATCCTCCTTGGGTCCAGGTGGTGTTTGCCTCCAAGGACCCAGCCTGCCTGGCTTCTGTTCTATATCCAAAAACAAGAGATGCTAAGCCTGTTTCCGGTGACCAAAGACTTCCGTAAGTGTGCAGCACACAACTTCTTTACAGAATTACAGAATCACAGAATATTAGGGGTTGGAAAGGACCTCTGGAGATCATCGAGTCCAACCCCCCTACCAGAGCAGGAGCAGGACAGTAGTACAGTATTACAGTACAGTATTATTTCTACATATATGTATATTGTGTATATTAGTGTATATTAGTACAGTATTATATCTACATAATATCTGTACTAATTCACTGAATCTATTATTTAGCAAAGCTGTTTTTCAGGATGGGGATACACTCAGAACAGGGAAAAAAACCCAACAGGATTATTTAAGAAAGCATACACATTGAAGTGTAAAAATGTGCTAAATCTCATGTTTCTCTTCCATGCTGCTCTGCACCTGCTTCACCTAAGTCAGTAGGTGTCAACTTTTCACCAGCTTTTACATAAAATGTTACTGTAGTGCATTGAAGACAAGATAGTGATCAGGTGAAACACTGTAGCTGGGTCCATGAAGAGAGATCCAAACCTTTCCTCCAGAGTGAAGTAAACTAGCAGCTAGAGACCCCTTTCATCACCTGAAATCTGAGTTTTGACGTGGTGGTTCTCACACACCCAGTCATTTGCCAGTATTACCAAATGTTTATTTCACCAGAAACAGCAAAAGAGTCTTATTTTAACATTGCTCGTATTTTTTTTTTCAAAGATCTTGCTCGTTGTCTTCATCTGACTTTTGTTTCTCCAGAGACATTGGTGGAGTTTCGCTTGGTTGACCCCAGCCACCAGCTAAGCTCCACCCAGCCACTTGCTTTCCCCACAGGGCAGAGAATAGGGGGAGCAAAAGCAAGACAACTCATGCATAAAGACAGTTTAATAAATGAAGAAAAGAAGGACAAGAAGGCAACAGAGTTGCCTCACTCACCACCTAACACAAGTAGACCAATGCCTAGCCAGTCTCCAAGCAATGGCTACCTCCCAGAGCCAAAGGGCTCTGCCCACTCCCAGCTTCTTGCCCACCCCTAGCCTACTTTCTGGGGTGTCAGCATGGGGAAGAAGGGAAAGGAGAAGGCCTTGGTGCTATGCATGCACTGCTCAGCAACAGCCAAAAATACTGATGTGTTACCAGTGCTGGTTTAGTTACAAATACAAAATACGGCACCATGTGGGCTGCTGTGAAGAAAATCAGCTGTCTCATCCAGACTCAGTACAGGGCAGGACTGGAAAGCCAACTGCTAATGATCGTGGATAAATTTAAATTTTTATGTTCAGGAAAATAAATCTGTGAAGCCTAAGAAATTCTTGGTTACTCTAACCAGCACCACATAAAATTCATGCATTTTCTGAGTGGCAGTGTGTGAACTGGAGAAGAGCTTTCCTCTCCCCCGTTTCTTAGGCTGATTGTGCCTACAGGTAGCAACCCATCATGTGCATGTGTGTTGGCTGCTTGTTAAAGGGATGTAGCTTCTGAGTCAGAGCCCTAAGTTTCGGGAGACATATGTGAGCTTGGTGTCCGGGCTCCCATGGGTCCCAGTGGAGATGTGTCACTGCTGTCCAGGGAGTTCAGTAGATTAGGTGCACTTAATTTGCTGCCCTTGTTTAAAGACATTACAGTTGTTTAAATGTTTTTGATGATTCAGCTAATCAAATGTAGGTGTCTGCTCTGCGGGTGAAGAGCTCTTTCTCTCATGGTGAGAGCAGCTCTCAAAACTTCACTCACTTCAGTGACTCCATCAACTGTAGTGCAAGTGTAGGCACTGACATCACTGGTTTCTAACATAAGATGCCCAAATCTCAATCCAGATACCAGGCCCAACCCTGGGAGCTGAAGTCAGTAGCCTGCGTCTGGAGCTGTTTCAGATACCCCAGTGTGTTTTGACTTGCCTCCAGTTGCCAGGCCAGAAAGGCCTACCTCTTCCATAGGCTGTGCATTGTATCTGCCAGCCACACCGGTGTCTTACATACCCACCAGTGTCTGAAATGGCACTTAGTGTCTGAGTAGCTCAACTGAACCCCCTGGTGATGCCTCAAAGTGTGATAATGAAAGCAGGTTCTTTTTATAGTAAGTATAAAGAAATAAGTCCTGTTGTCTAAAATTAATGTAGGTTTCCGTGGCCTGCAAGTACCTCTTTCTCTGCATCAAACACAACAATTGACTAGAGGTAGAGGTCATAAAAATTGAGACATTTAAAATGAGGTGAACATTCCTACAAGGTCATATGCCCTTCTGCAAAGGGTCCAGTATTTCTCTGTGTGTTTCTCTGGTCTTTTTAAACCTGTCATCTTAGAGTATCACATAGTTTTATACATTATTTAACTGCTGCAGTATGTATTCCCTCTTTATTTGTAAGGCACATTGATACACTTGTCATGAAAAGCTGTGCAACAGACAACGGGGTTTTATGATTCCCAAGTAAGGGGGGCTGGCCTGTATTTTCCAGATGAAAGCTGATGATGCCTGTATTTACAGACAGTAGAGGGGAAAAGGAAACTTTAGACTAATATGCAAAACTCTTCTTTTATGCTGGATGCACATAAGGTTTAGGTATGAATGTCTTTACATTTATTAATATATTATTTATTATTTTAGCATCTTCATAGATTCAGAAATACCTGCTTTCTTGCACGCCATGGGATGGGTAAACTTTGTCAACCTACTTGGTCCTTTATCCTTGCAGTGTATGTGATCTGGTGAAAGGCTGTACCAGTGGAACTGTAGAAGGAAGTGTCAGATATAGGCTTACTCTCAGGGAGATGGTTTGTGGCAGGTTGCTGTCTGGAGCAATTTCATTTGAGATAATGGTATAAGGTGCTACAGAGCCAGCTTTCTGGATGATGAGTGTGGGAATGCTCATCAGTGTGCAGTTTTAAAAATATTTCATACAGTTCATGAAGGTCTAAAATACAAAGAGAAGGATGACAAGAAAATAAAGCATCATGAAGAGACTCTTGTGGAACATTTTATGAAGATTTTCACCCTTGGAAAAGCAGGTGTTATAAAGTGATGATTTATCACATTGAATGTTCTTCCTTTCAGCCAAGGAGTATTGCAAAGTGATATTTCCATACGAAGCACAGAATGATGATGAACTCACAATCCGGGAAGGTGATGTCGTCACACTTATCAGTAAGGTAAAAGCAATATTTTTCTCCTTTAAACAGGGATGCAGTTTTTAAAATCAGCATAATTCAATTCCCATAAAATACCCGTTGGTGCCTTTGACAGTGTCCTTCTTAAAAAAAATGCTAGTTTGACAATGAAACATTAGACTTCAGAGCACCCTACATCTCCTCTTGTGCTTTAGAGGCTTACCTTGACAATGTCAAGTGAAGAACAGCAAACATGTACTCTTGAGTTTACAAGTTTATACTATTAATTTTAATTTGAATCTGCTGTCAGAGCTACATAAATTGTAAATTGACCCCTGTAACAAACATAAAAGCCTAAACAGTAAGACTCAAGAAAGCAACAGGTTTGAACACCTCTGGTAGGTGTGAGTTCTGTTTCCTGTAGGAACTGTGAATTCGATTTTTTGAGTTAGATGGAGATAATATGCCTAAACTGACTTAATGACTTAAACACTTATTTAAGATGTACCCACCCTTAACACTATAGTAAAGCTGAAAAAAATGGTAAAACAGAAATGAAATTAAATCCTTTTAGATCTGTGTTGTTTTCTTTAAAATTACTGGAAATTATTCAAGATTAGAAACAAGAAAACGGTGCCAGGATTTACAATAAATCTCCAAAAACTATACAGTAACATGGTGAGTAGATTAGGCAAACTTAATTTGCTCTCTTGTTTAAAGACTTGACAATTGTTTAAATTATTTTGACTGCTGGACATAAGTATTTGGGAGAAATAAAAGCTACAGACTAGAGAAGCCTGTGGATTTTGCGTGATGAAGATGAACTGTAATGATGTGCACAATAGTGCTGTTGTGTTTATCCATTATAGAATTCATTCTTTTACTTTCATATAAGTTTCATAAGAAATTGTTACTTGCCTAAGCAATCTGTCAGTTAGGCAGAAAACCCCCAAAACCTTGGGAAGTACATCTCAGACAGTGTTTGCTGTGTACTAAGACATTAGCAAACCTAGTGGACCTCTTCTTTGTCCTGGAGAATGTATGTGTAACCAAGGGAAAACAGTCAGACACTTGGTAGGAAGAGAAACTGCAAATTTTAAAAATAAATTCCCTACATTAAATATCTTTTAATTACTTGCCCTTAATGACTTCTTTATTTAACTTGTCTTGAAAACTGTTTGGCTTTGCCTGATTTAGAAAGTTCTTCTTTGAGTATTTAACAATGTCTCTAATCATGGAAATGGTTTTTAAGATGTTGTTCCTGCCCACTTTACACTTTATTGACCAGGTTGATTTAACTCTCTGAGATGGCTGATCTCCAGGTGAAGCTGTGCTCTTCAGTATACATAGATGAAGAGACATTACTGAGGTTTCAGTATGAGAATTCATTTGCTTGCTTTTTCCCATTTCTTCTTCTGTCTGCCTCTGCCCCCACAATGGAAGGATATATGTCTTTCATAACTAAGCTGATGATTTGACTGAATTGATCAGCTTTCCCAACCATGAAGTGAGAGCTTTGTTGGTATGTTCTCTAGTATGTCCTCCATTCTTCTGTTCCCCAGTCTGGTGGTATCAAACCACTGCAGACTTTTTATTCAATTTTATTCTTTTGGTTTTGTGGTATATGACATAAAATCTTGCCTCTAGAGAGTAAGGGATCTCAATGCAAAAGGCTTGGGATTTCTCTGTGGATTTATTTTATCTGCGTCTGAACTCATCTGAGATACTGAAGAAAACAGAGGTAAAGAGGGAGCGACTTTGCAGATCCTTTTGTGGTTTGCAGACCTCATTGCAGTCAGACATGCTGGGGAATTTCTTCTGTTCTAAGCACATAGTTTAAAAAATTAAATCCAAGTGATGTGGAGTCATGTTCTTGCTGTAGAGTTCTGAAAACAGTGGAGTTTCTTCCATGCTCTATTGTGCAATATAGTAACCTTATTTTAGTCCGAATCTTCTGAAGTAGGTGTCTGTTGTAGTTTTTCTTTTAGCAACTAAAGTCAGCCTCAACTTTCTGCTCACTAATGGCTTTTGGTAGAGTTGCCTTTTACCTGAAATTCAAGTCTCTGTGTTTAGAGTGTCCTTTCCATAACCAGTTAGTGATCCATACTAAGAGGAATTCAATAGAAACATATGGAGGACTTCAGAAACTATTACCATGGTTTGGTTTGCTATCAGGTTACAGTTTCTTTTAATCTGTTTGCAAGAAATTGGTTTGTAGGTTTGCTTTCCATGCTGAAGAGCACTAGACAGAATTTGTTCTTCCCAATTACCTAGACCCAAGGAGAGAAGATTGTTACTTTTAAAGAGATGGGTGTCATAATTCTTCCTACAACCACAGATGCGTTTGCATAAAATAAAGTATTTTGTTGAAATCACTAAAACCATAAATTGATATAAATTCTCCATATGAAAAGTCCATCACTAGGCTAATCTGTTTTCACACAGATCTATAGGAGTGTTGAAGGTTCACAATTTAACTTGTACTGAATTTGCATTTAACTTGAAACAACAGCATTGGTGAGAGCGTGTGGAAGTGGCTGAAGTAATGAGTGAGTGACACAAGAATGGGAGAGAAGTCTCGTGAAAACAACGTAAAATGCATTAGAAGAATCTTGAAAGCATGAAGATGAGATAGCAACTGATAGGTGCTAAGAATGACTTAAATGAGCTAAATGGTAAGTTGCTAGGAGAGCCTGTGTATGAGTGCACACACATGAGAATATGTGTATGAGGAAGCTGTTAGACTGGCATTCATATTAAAATGATGAATATTTGTTTTGTGGAAATAATGACAAAGGAATAATATCAGTAGTTGCAGAATTGAAAATTGCCATTTTAACAGTGCCCTTGCAGATAAAAGGGATAAACTTATAACATATTTGTTTTTTCAGCTAAACTAGTTATAAAAGTCCCTTTGTCAAAATCATCAAATACCTACCTACTAGCAAGAACAAACTTTTTTTTTTTTGTCACAGCCTTTGCAAAATCTGTTCCAAGTTCTCACTCTGTTTTGATGGATGTTGAGGTCTTGAATCAAAAGCTGATCAGATCTTTCCTAAGGGCCTCTATGATAAGGGAATATGAATAGCTGGGGTCTTTTATTAAATAGTTGAAGAATACTTTGCAGAGGTTTGCTGAAGCACAAGTGACTTCCCTACTGACTTTGAGAATATGCTGATAAGTTTTATTTAAATACTGAAATGAGTCAGTAGAGGCTGATCATTTACTGGTCAGTCTGGCACGTTTTATGGGAGATGTAGGGGGAAGGATGGCATTTTGCAGGAATGACAGCCAAATCAAATTGTCAATTAAATAGCATATTGAGTAATTTTTTGATTAACTGCGTGTGGCTAAATCATTGAAAAGTTACACAAAAGGAGAAGAGTTCAAACCTATGGTATTAACAGTTGTTTTGTCATAGATTAAAATTTACCTAAAAGACTAAAAGAAAAGCAGAAGGTAACTTCACATAAATGTATTCCAAACATTTCTGGAAAAGATTTTTCTCTCCTCCATTTCTGAGTGAAGCAAATGCCCTCATAGATGCATAGAAATGTTTTATTTGTTAATTACTGGAAATTAAAATGAACAAATGGTATTCCCTTAATTCCTTCATGCAAAATACTTAAAAGGCAAGAAAATACTGCTGACAATTGTAAAGGAAGGCAAAAACTTCATCTTCAAGGCAATAAAACAGTAGACCAGGTACCTTTGCTTTGCAAAAAGGGGTCTAAGAAAAATACACCTCTGGAAGAAAGAGAACAAAAAGCAAAATGCAGCAATTTCACTTGTACAGTTAAGGTGATTGTGCTGCAATTTGATGATAAGTTACATTTATTAACTGAGAAGATATGAATTGCAAGAGGCCATGAGATTGCCCTTGTAGTAATTACTTCTCTGTAATACAAACATTTGTGTTCCTTAGGTAATTTTTTGTGTCTTCAAAATGTTCCTGGCAGCATTTGGATAAGGACAAGAAGACTGGTAGTGTCTGCACTGTGCAGCTGAAGGAGAGCGGCAAACAGGAGTTTTACTGTGCTCAAATATCGATTCTACAGACTGTAATAAATAAAGTTGCTTTTAAGCAACAGGAAATTCACACAATATTTTCAATTTTTATCTTGAAAGTATTTTAGGATTTTTCATTCCAGCACTTTTACACATAGCTGCTGTAGGTAGGCTGTTTTCCAGTCTTAATAAAGGCTTTTTATACAAACAGAACGAATTTGTTAGCAGCTCTAGTAAATTATGACAAAATGCATATAATTCAGGAGATTCCACTGGCATACAGAAAATTACCTGTGTGAGGAATTGATACCAATAGCTTAATAATTTGAAAGTAAATACATCGAGCACACACTGGCATCTGTGCACTCATTTGAAAGCACTTTTACTTCCAAGAGTGTGAAAGATTTCATTGCACTGCATCAATCTGCCTGAACTCTAGGCAGTAAAGACCACTTTGTTCCCAGGAGTGAAAATGGTCTGGTTAACTAAAATTAAGTACTTGAAAAATCATTACAAATTTGAAAAGCTGACAGTAACAGAAAGATACCCCCCCCCCCGCCCCCTTATTTTCAGAGTAGGAGTAGTGGAGGGCAATATTAGTGGCAATTCTGAGTTTACAAGATGTTGAAGTTAATAGTTGACAATGTATCAACTGGAATAATAATCCGTGTCTTTCTCTGCATATCCCACCTGGCTTTCCATCAGCCCCCACCTACCTGGATCACTAAGCCTTTCTTCTCCTGCTCCACGCTAAGAGCTGCGTGCGTGGCACTAGTGGTAGGAACATGTTGCACCGAGTGATGGATGACACAATAGAGGGTCCTTTATGATTTTGCAAAGGAGCTTTCATGAGGAGATGATTTTCATGGAAGGTGTCCAACCTCCTTGTGAATTCATCAAAACTGTCTGAAGGATTAATGAAGTGTAAAAGAAAGCAACAATGATGTACAGCCTCCCAAAAACTGGCTGATGCTTTTCAGATAATACTGGGCCAATTGAGGCATTGGTATCATGAAAGACAAAACAGGGCAATG